TGCGCACTCTGACGATAGCATTCCTGAAGTAATCTCTGTAGTGCCTTGTGTTGCACGTCCGTCCGGAACAATCTACTAGTTTAGCTTTCAAGCGATGTGTAAAAAGTGTTCAATAAATTTAAATGGTCCCACCGAATCACGACTTTATCATCACGACTGTAGTCACGGTCATCTACCGCGCGTGGTTCGAACCCGACCTCTGCCTCTCGACTTCCCCTGTCTAGGATTGGGCAACCTGGCAGTATCCCGGCCCTCGTGCTTCCTTCGGGTGACATGGGAGTTAGGCACCAAGAGGACGCTACAGCTGAACGATTTCTACGATCGCGCAAGCATGTCGGCACTCTTTTTTCGGATAATCGGACAAATTGGAGGATACCTTGCATAGATGTTTGAATAATGGGTGTCTTAGACTAACTCGTGTTCACGAAGACCGGTCCCTGATCACAAAAGCCTCAAACCGGTAAATATCATTCCCGCAAGGGATCATAATTAAGGTAAACTTGCGGTCATTCTTTTACCCACAACTAATCCTGATCATTACATGTCAAGTCCTCGCAATACGAGAACCTAGGAAGGTCGTTTTTCTCTTTCCGGCACGCAGCTATTTCACCCCGCCATACTCTTATAAATCTCAGCATTGCTCTATCCTAAGGCAATACTGCTATGTTTTGGGTGAGGTCCCCTCTTCTTACTTACTCATTCTCGATTCCCTTCAACGTAAAATTGAATCGCTCGTCGATATCCTTTCGCTGGCTGACAAGCTGCAAACGCTTTCTCGCAGTCGGACTGTAGTGTCTCCTACTCTATTCGAACATTACTACCACGGAAAATGTTTACAGGAGCTTGCTTCTTGTGGCCCCTTACCCATATCTTTCAGTCGGATGACACATTTCCGTGTATTTTGTTGCCCATATCAAGTTACTATTACACATCGTAGAGCTGCTCCCTTCTCATTCTTCTATGAACATCCCGTCTTTGGAACTGTTTGCCACTCTGTCTTTCATGCTCCAACTTTTCAAAAACCGAGTTAGCGTCCTCTCTGAGGTTTGTGTTGCTTCACATGTGGTTTTGTGTTACAGTTTTTCGTTATTTAAACGAGGTCTCTGACCACGAGTCTCTTTCCTCTGTAATCCACATTTGTACAAGCAAAAATTCTGACTAGGTTTTCTCCAGGCAGGTGACTACCAATTTGCTCGCCGCAGACAGCAGTTGTCCCATCTGTTGTTGTAGGGGGTAGTGTTGATGGTCACGCACTGAATGTGTAATTTATGCCTGTTCAGCATAGGCGATGCTGTTGAAGGGACCCGAAGGCCCTGTGGGTATCTGGACAATATGAACATCTGGTCCGTTGCTGAAGTTATGCAAGGAGCCCATAGTGTTAACGGCCATCGGCTGTCAATCAGTCTGTTGGATGCCTAACGAACCACGTGCTAGGTTCAAATGTTCTATTAGCTACTGGTAATTGATCAGAACAATCACATCCAGACTGTGCTATGATGGTCTAGCTACATGTGTCATTCTTTACCGGTTACTTAACTAAATGCTTGTGCATTTGGCTTCCTTTCACTGCTAACCTGTTTGTGTCTAACGTGGAACGTGCACATGTCGTGCCGTATTATTTTGAACCAAAAGCATTCCTTTGGACTCTAGTGTGTATATTCCAGTTTCGTCATTTGTCTCATAGCTTAAATGCACGAATGCTTCTGTGAATGTGAATCATTACCGCCCAGTACGGTATAACGATAGACTATTTCTCGTGAAAAAAATAGTATGTTTTATGGTACGAAGAGTTTAGTTTCTTGTGTTCTGTCAATAAAATTTTCCAAGGAAACTCCTCTGGTCGTTCAATATACCCGATTTCCGCCTGGCTATGTCAGGAATGTGATCGTCAAATGCGCTGACATTCTAAGATCTCAGCGTTTCCGAAATTTTTCCTTACCTTTCATGATTTCCGTCAACAACTGGCTTTCTATCAGGTGTAGTTTGATGTTGCCTGTGACTAGCGGCGCTTTTCAATGAGCGTACTCACGTATTTGTGAAGTAATGATCAACCGTGAATGCTTCCGATGTCAGATGACTGGATGCCAAGTTCTTCGTGTAGTCCACTTTCTTTGTTATGCATTTACCAGGACATTGGTTATGAGCGCCCTGAATAACAATACTGTTCTTCACTCACGGCATACTCGTGTTCGGTTTCGCCCTAGGGATTAAATTGCTCACCAATAAACCCATATTCGATGTATTGAGTAATGAGCGGGCTTTCGCGGCAATATTTTCTGCTGAATTAGACCATAACGAATTTCCAGCCTGGATAACTCCAATTTGGACATATCCAATCCTACCCCTGTTTATCCGGTTGCCCCACCCCCTCCCAACCAAAAAAAAACTAAAACGTTAGAGTAAGTTTAAATGTTCTAGTGAACATACCAAAATTTTCAGTGCTTCCAGGAATTTCGTTCCTCCAGAATGCCTGAAGTTTGTGAATAGGTGAAAGTTACCCAAGTGTGCGTTCAAACATATAGCATTGAAGTTGATCCGTGATCGTTACCATCGGAACATATGAATGCCTTCCCTTTTGTGTATTTGTTAATTAAAAAAGTCGAAGCGTACTGAACTCTCTTTGCTCAGACTGCCACGCAACGCTGGGGATGCACGAGACTTCGGATGCTATCGGGTTGTTTAGGCTTAGGCAGGTGGAATCGAAAAGCCATGATCGGATTCGAGTCAATATGTGGTCAGTAGCGCATGCCTCAACCCTTGAGCTTTATCCAGCTTAGTATGTGCTGTGAGCATAAGTTGATGTGGCTCGGAGATTCACAGGATACACACCGGTAAATCACTCGTTTACTAGTTATGACTTAACTCGTGTTTTTGTTCACTTGTGCATTTTTAAATCCCATATTCACGCTTCTTCAGGTTTGCATTTACTTCCAGGCTGTAAGTAAAATATGGATGATGGAAACGGGTGGTTGCCGCGTCCATTTCGGAATGAAATATATGGCCACATGTGAGGCCTAGGGGGATAGTCTCCAGGGGATTAAAGAACTTTTTGCTGATAGGTAGAAACTGAAAACTTGCAACAGTACCCTTTCAGGACAAGTTAGAACTATTGTCCTCTGCAACGAGAGGAGGGACTTACAATTCTTGAAAGTGAGGAGTGATTAGTGAACATTTCTGGCAACAACCGGTGAAAACCGAAGTCGAAAAGAAGTCTGATACATTTTCGGTAGGTGGTACTCAAGAGAACACAGGTCTGCGGTTAAGCATCCATCTGAGAGAGTTCGTTGCTCGAGCAGCCAGTCAACACGTGCGAATGCGTGATGGGGATCCCGTAATTTAAGGATGACTTGCGCTATATCCTGCGAATTAGTCATGGCCCAACATGTTCAAACTACTAACCAAGGGGGGGGGCGTCGATGGTTCGAAGCTCCCTGGAGTTTCGCGGGAGAGCAGCTTTGATGATTCCCGATAAAGATGAATAAGCTGTACGGTGCTTCTCGGTTCCGCGTTCACTTACACGATATCCACATGTCTTTCTTTGTTGTTGAGCGCAAAAACTATCCCAGGGTGACGGTGTGAGGCGAACTTCTTTACACCATCCGTCGCTGAACTCAGCCAATCGAGCTTGAGTGTGACGGCCAAACCTATGTCGTCTTGAACTTTGTTCTTCCAAGGTCTCATGGTGCCAGTTGGATTTTCGTGAGCACTCGCCCACCGAAACACGCATAACCACTGAACTACTGCCCAAAACAGATATATGACCGGTGCACCCAAGTTCCCCTTGCGTCAGCCAACAGAAACATACACACGTGTTATAATACAACATTCACTTTTGATACTGCAAGCGGTTGCATTTCCCCTAAGACTCTATCTGTTTGCTATCTTACTGTGGTTCGACCCCATATATCAAAGTACAGTCTGGTGGCACACAATGATTTGATCTGATGCGATGTATCGAAATTTGTGATGAGCATAATGTAGTATGCTTCAGTCCCCGCGATTTAGGAGTACAAGCTGTCGGTAACAAAGTCGCAGAGAGCTTTCGGTGCATTCATCAGGTGTATAGTAAAATCACCGTAGGAACATGCGGCAAACATCCATGTGCAATTTGCTGATGGGCACTGTATGTGCAACCTTTGCGTAGTAGTTTAGGTTTGGAAGTAAGTCCTATCCAGTCCAGGCGATCCATTAAGTGGGTGTGGATCACTTCAACCCGCGAATATAATATTCCTGCTCCTCTTCCACCTTGTTAGATGGGAGCTTTGTTTTCTTTCTGACAAAATTGCAACAATTCTTCTGCCGTGTTCATCTGGTTGGTGTCCTCTTCTACCTGTGTTGTTGACAGTGAATATCCTCAGCTACTAGCTACTACTAATACAGTCAAATGACCGGATTGTTTTACATTCTTTATTCACACGGTTGGGTTGCTTCTTGTGACTTCATGGGTTGTTTTGTGTGCGGTCGGTTCCACGTTTTCTTCAGCCAGCAGGTCATCGTTGCGCATGATAACTGCCAGGTCAAGAATTTTAGCTTCATTGATCACCACTCTTCGTAATATTTGCAGTTTTTCGAGTTTCCAGGTCACCGATCTAAAAGTATATTTCGTAAATGTTTTCCACAAGGCAAGTGTCCAATACCATCGCAAGTTATCAGGTTGACCTGCGTTGGACTTGATCATGTGTCCTTTCAAAGTTACTCTCTCTGTCCTCCTAACCGACACAAACATGGATTTCTCCCTTGCTAGCGTTCCAGACTAATTATGATCGCGGGTAATAAACTCCGTCTCGAACTGCATTTTGCCAATAATTCAACTTTTCGAAGAGCTTTTTTTATTTTCTCAAATTACTTTTTAGTCTACGTTGACATTATTCTGGCACATTCCTTTTGCTGAAGTTCTCGAACATAACTTTGCTCGCTAAATTGATGTATTCAATTCCTAAACAACCCAGATTATATTTCGCGTAATTCATGGCGTTTTCTTCCACTTTCCATTTTTCCAGGTTCTGCTTTGAATTCTCTTCAAGGTATGACCACGTTTCTCAAAAGTCGACCACAGTTTTTCCAGTCTCTTTCCCACGCGATCGAATGGAGGTAGGTCAGTCGCCTCGATTTAGTTGTTGTGTTCGGCAGTTTTGCTCTCCTTTTGTTGTAAATTTTCACGAGTTTGTTGTTTTGACACGATGTCTCTTGATCTCATTAGGAGATAAACGTATCCGGAGGCAGAATGCGTTTTCTGCCATGTGCCTGTTGTCAGAAATCTCGAGTATCTACCTTCGCATACGCTCTATTTCTTGTGTCCATGTGGTAGGAAATGAAAATTGGACCTACCAACAGATAGTGCAAGTGGATTGTAGGGAAGAGGAGCTCTAGTAACACTTGTTGTTTTTTGCCGTTCTTCAAAGTGTGCTTGTGGATTGCCCTCAAAGAAGGGAGGCGCAACTGTACTGGAACCACCGAGGCTCATACATAAGTTGCAACGCGACTGTGCTACGCTGTCACACATACAAACCTGGTGGACGCAAGCCCCTTCGCCGGCCCTCTAACATATGAAGTGAAGCAAGAATGCCAAGCGCCAAATCTAATTCGGGAACAGCTTTGGCTGGTTATAAAATAACAAAAACTATCCTCAAAGAAGACCCCTCAAACAGAAGGTCGGTCCCCGGGGACGATCTCCAACGCCGTTTCTCTTCGGTTGCGACTTTACGGCCCCTGTCCACTAATGAAAATGAGTCACTGTTTCCCACTCATAGCCTTCACTGCAGATTAATGGTATCCCAACAGTAAATTATCGTTTCTGAACGGCAACTCCAATATCACGGTCATCAACGGGCAGGATTGTCGACATCACATTCTTTTCGTTTTTTCCATACCATCAAGTCACGGCTGTACCAGGCTAAGTTAATGTTCTCAGGTTATAGAATACAGTATAACTGAAATAGAATGTGGACTTGGCGAATGGTCTGGTGATGCAACTGCGTTGCATTCGTCCTTTGACCCCGAAGCATTTCAAGATGTAAACCCAGCCTTTCGGTTGACCACACTTTCGACCACTATCGCATAGTGCATTCTTCACTCTCACAAAGCTGTCTGGAAGCTAGATTTGACAGCTGATTGGCTACGAAAACGTCTCGATGTGTAGGAGAGGGCTTTCGCAGCTCACAAACATGGGTGCGTGGAGTTTGTCATCATCATCATCTCAAGTCATTATTTCATCTATCTTTTAGTGTGAACCTTAGCAGCCTGGTCGAATGGTGACCACTGACCAGTCTATGATCTTCTTTGTGTTTGACGGACAATAATTCACCCATTCCGCTTTTACATCCTGTGTGATCAAAAATGGATGCCCAGTTCATAGCATTATTTCGTAACTTTGATTTGGCTGACTGTGATGTCCTGGCACATCGTTGGCTTTGTGGTTTTTAAAACCGGTTAATTGAGTGGTGCACAACTCTCAAAAGATATAGACGGGCGGTATAGAACCCAAGCATCCTCTTGAGTATAGTAAGGCGTATCACCGATGGACGAGCGATACAAATAAACGCGTCTCAGTTACTCAATTAAGTCGGACTCCAGTTCGCTGACAATAGTACATGACATGGTTCAACTTTGTGATCACTTCTAGACTTCCACCTGAAGACCGCTTTTTGACAAATCGAATGCCAGAACCGAGGCGGCTTTTCCATTGGTAGCTTAGTGATATCATACTTGGCTTGGATCGTCCGCTGTTTGTTTGACAGTTCTCTGTGAGGAACATTTCAACCCTCACAAAAGTCTTGTTATAGAATATATAGAAATTAAATTAACTCACTTTGAACATTTTCCGTGTAGGACAGGAGTCGACTGATGTACATCTAGTTGTTCTCATTGCCATTTATCTTTCCATTTCCATACGTTTTCGTAGTGTGCGCAGCTGCCAGTTGCGTAACGTCCAGTCAGCCCGTGTTTCCTTCCCAGGCCAACTAAAGCGAATCGCTACCGGCCAGACAGCCACATGCGAAATGGAACAGGGAAAGGCATTGATTTTCTCCTGCCCCAAGTTCTCACCCAACCCCTCGATCACCAGTCTCCCACTCGATTCGCCAAACCAGACAAACCCAACAGATCGGCAACACCCGGAGCCGATTGCTGAAACTGCCGATGATGAGGACATCGATGAGCAGCAAAACAACTCACCAGAACAACAGTGTGATCATGAAGCACAGCAAGTAAGACTGGTCCACTCTCCGGTTACTTTTGAATCGTTGTTTTTTCGCAAAGTTAGCGATTACTTGTTGAATTCTATGGTATGTTCTACGCTTCCACCTCGTTACTTTCAATCCTTGCTGCAACAGCGATCTGTTCCAACGAGTACCGTTGTACACATCTTGTGCTGAACACAACCACAGTACGACCCAACCAGACACTTTCATGTCCTCTTATTTGTGTCTTGAGACTAGAAGCTCATAGTGGATAACCGTTAGCATTTTCCTTTCCCATGCCACCTGAAAAAAACCTTCCCGAAAGCATGTCTGTCAACCTCTTTAGTCCATTTATGTTAACTTCGTCCGGTCGACTCTGTCAATAGAAGCTCTTCTGATGGGCCTTCCAACCACAGTCTGTTGTTTCCCAGGTTCTTGATATCGGTCCGAGATACAGCCTTTAAAAGATGGCTTGTTTGAGTTGTATTTGTAATGAACGACTGATAGTTGTCTCCTATGGGAGATAATGGAATGTAGAAGCATCAGCAGGCCACCCAAAACTGTCTTTAGTGAGTTCTTTCTCTCTATAGGGAGTGCACAGCATATAAACCCTAACGTATTGAATTCACTTCTTGAAAGGTTGCAGATGTCAATATTCATCAAACCCGCGCTGTCTCAGCTGCTTTTCTGCGTGTTCGTCCTTTGACTGTCACAGGCTACCTACATTTTCTCCAGACGTGCTTAAAAGCTTTTATTGAATATTATATAAATATATATATATATATATATATATGTCCTGTCTAGACACTACTGTCAACCAAACCGTACTCAGTGAAGAAGAAGTATGTCATCTATCTATGGACCAGCTGGTGTCAAGTTTGGTGACTGCGTCATAGAGAGACATCGTGGAGGTCCTAATCAGTGTTGTGCTCAATACGGAAAGCGCATTTATCATTCGTCTTTCCCCATCTTTCGTACAAATACCTTGGATCCGTGGTCCTCCGATTTGTTTACATTACAGGCCGTCTTCAACTAAAACGCTTCTCTGTTGTTTCTTTATTTGGCGCAAATGGAACACTTGATTTCATTTTGATTTCCCAGGTTGATGAGTCCACAAAGCCCGATGAACATCTCGAATTCCGTCGCGAATCCCACAGTACTCACCTAACCGACGTTTCGTTCACCAGGTCACATAACTCAGTGCAGGAAATACCTCGATGGGCACAATATACATGGCGTATTGACCTGATGAATACCCAACCATTTTGGCAGGGCTGGTTTTCTGGATTGTCGCAACGATTCCTCTCCATCCCGGAACCCAAGCTTTTACTGCTAGCCGGTGTGGACCGGTTAGACAAAGATCTCACCATTGGCCAAATGCAAGGTCAGTTACTGGTGTTTATGTTATTCACCTAGGTGTACGTTAAACACCAGCTCGTTGCTCACGCAGCCGAATGTTGCAACTGAGGATTGTCGTATCGTTGGATGTACCACAACGTGCCCCAAATAGAGCTTGCAGTGTCAACTATTCAGGTGCTATCCGAAACAGGCGTTCAGTCGTCTACATCGGGTAGTTATCTCCCAGTCCTCCCAAGCCTGAGTTGAATCTATTGTGTTTACCAAGGCATGTACCAACCTCCATGCCCCACCGGTATTAGAAACTCTGGGTTGTCTGCAACCAATGGTTTAAAGAAACCCGCAGGTTGTTCGTACAGATATCGTCTACTCATCGTTATGTCCTTATTCAGATACCCTGATATCTCTGCAGGCAAAATTAATGAGGTACAGGGATTATATGGGAAATGCGAACCGAAGAGTTTTCACAGAAAACGGAGAGAAAGAGGTAATGTCTGGGTATGTGTCATTCCCGCACTAACTATTGCAGTTACTGTCAGTGTTCTTTCAGCAACACTCGACAATTGTATTTTATGTGGCAAACGTGAAGCTACAAAATGGATCACAAAGCCCGTTCTTCTACCCCTAGATTCAGTTTTGATGTCTGCTTCAATGCGAAAAAGTGTTCTTGAAATCCTGGAGGGTATTTACCGGAAACATATCTGTGATGTACTATTGGGTCGAACGGAGTCAAGAGGACACGGGTGAGCAGCACGCTACCTATCACAATAAATGATGAGAGTTACATGTGGTGAACCAGACGGACTACTACGATCAAAAACTGCGTGGAGCTCTAAGTGCTCGGGTAGCGCCTGTATTCTTATCTATATTGGTTTGAGTGGAAATTTTTTATGCTTAGAAAAAAACTGACAACAAAGTGCCCAATGACAAACAATCATCCGCATTGTACGTCCAAATTATGAACAACTTCGAGCTATCCTGCACACTACATCCGAATTCGGGAGAAAATACTCTGACGTGAATACACCTCAGGGTATTCTTGTCGATTCGAAAATTCGTCACTGATGGATTAGTCTCTAAACCACACTGAAAATGTTCGGCGCGTAATCACTGGAGGTTCTTCTTGTAAAGATCGCCTAGTTCACACTGTTGATCAATCTCTGGTACCAATATGCTATGATTGCATGAAAGCCGGAGCTAGTATTATTGACAACTGTGGCTATCGCTCAATTCCTTTCGCGACTTAAAGCTATTTTGATCTACATCTATTGCCGTCTGAAGTTGGCTTCATTAGCAAATCTCGCTGGCAGGACTTATTACTCATCGGTTTTGTTCGCTCTTTCGCAAAACCAAACAAGAAGCCATGGATCTCATGTTGCAATCTAAATTCGACGACCAAATTGAAAGGGGGCTGAACTACTCCGGAACAAGTTACCTTTAGTTATTTTATACCCTCAATTTCCAATCTCACGGTGATAATTTACGTGATGAATCTGACTCACGTTTTGAGCAATGTAGTAGTTGCCTTTGCATGTAGCTTTAGTGCGAAAATGCACGATTGATGTGAAAATTTCCACCAATAACGGTCGAATTAACTCGCCTACTGGACGAAAGGAATCTTTAGTCTCCAGCACTGAGAAACCTGAGAAGTGTTGTGGGTCAACCACACTGGGGTACGTCCCGCGACGCATACTCGAGTTAGCAAAAGTATACTCATGAACATCGTGCATAACTTATACCACTATAACGAAATGTACGCCACTGCAATCAAGGTGGCCGATCCTCAGCAGTTGTCCGAATGAGTACGCTATCAGAAAACGTTGTCAATCTGAGTAACCAACTTCATTCGCATTCCTCAGAAGGAAGTTTACAACCTGGAACAAAAAGCAGTTGATCGTGACCTCTGTCGCGAGGATGGCCGGTAGCATGGTACTGGAAAGTTGAGCAATCTAAATTAGACTACATCAACTCACAACTTGTTGTTCTTACAAAATCCCGGTCATGACCAAATAGGTTACTGAATATCCGAATGAGTGGGTAAGTGAAATCAGGTGGATAGATCATCACCAGTTGTGCTCTGTCTGAGGGCACTGGGTACGGTTTTCCGTGCTAACTGAATTAGTAATTTGGGTCAACGCTTACAAAGTGAAGAGTTTCAGTGTTACTCATGATGACAAATGGCTGAGAAAAGTGGATATATGAGCATATGAAATGGTTATTACTTTAACGTAGTGCATGGCTCCAGCTAAGGCAATCAGTGTTCGCTTGTGAGACTTGCATGCGTGGTCTGATAAAGTTCAGGCTACTGACCGAAAGGTTTCTGGTTATGTCCCATCGCTGGCTTTCGAATTGCCCATGTTTTGTTTTGAGCAGTCTGACTTTGTCTCAGCTACCGTGCACTCTTCAGGTTGCACGGTAGTAGTGTGCGGGAAGGGTGGTATAGCTGAACAGTTTAGTTTCAGTTAGCATTAACGTACACTTTTTTGCCTTGTCTTCAACCAATTATTACGATTAATCGATCAGGATAAATCAATCAAAACAGCGGGGAAGCCATCAGAAGAAGTGGTCGAATTTAAATGACCCGAAATGATGTGGCCTATTCGAAAGCCGTAGTAGAATCGTGGTTCACACATGTCGAATAACCCGGGTTGCATGTGCTATCAGTACACGAGAGTTCTGATCTGTGAATTTCGGACATATCAGAATAACTTCTCTTACCCTTTTCCATGTTGTGTGAATGTAACACACTCGAAAATGTCTTGAGGTGTACGTTCCCACCCAGCTAACTTGGAACGGCATGGCCTGACAACCTTTGTGTGCTAGCATACTGTCACCCATCTTTCACTTTCGTCTATCTTTGGTGCCAGTAGCTTTTCCGAAGTAACAGCTGCCACGTGCTGCCTTGTAGCATAAACTTTTCAGCTCGAACTATCAGACTTTAAACCACTTCATTTCTGAAATATATGGATCCATCTTTCTTTGTTTTCACTCGCCCGTTCTACACTGCCCCTGCAAGTCTATATACCAGCTGGAGTAAAAACTAAACTTTGTTGTATTTCCAAAACGCTGAAAAAGGAAAATAGCTATACTCTGCCAGTCTGTTCCGGTCCTTGTTTGCTAGGGTGAACAAGCAGTATGCACACGGAATCCGCGCAAGTTATATAAATAACTTCTTGCCGTCAACTCTAACGTACCCATGATTCTCTGGCGTCACGAGGATATGAAATGTCCGTGCATTTTGCAAATAGGTCATTCAGACGTGACAATTTTTGGACACAGAAGAATTATTCGTTCGAAAGTACCCATATATATATATATAT